CCTGGGCTCGCGCAGACACAGTGCTGGGCTCGTGCAGACACAGTGCTGGGCTCGCACAGGCACGGTGCTGGGCTCGCACAGACACAGTGCTGGGCTCGCACAGACACAGTGCTGGGCTCGCGCAGACAGAGTGCTGGGCTCGCGCAGGCACTGGGGAGCTGGAGCACTCGCCTTGTGCTTCAACCTCCAGAAGCAGGTTAAATACCATCAGTGGTGTGGAAACTGGGGAGCTCTCCAGCACTTAAGTAACTTCTTAAGAACACGATATAATGTATGACAACAACAAAAAAAAGGTGGCCAGGACAACCTGTTTCTCCATTTCTGGTCTTCTTTTTATATAGCACTTTCTTCTTCCTATACCGAGCACTCGCCTTGTGCTTCAACCTCCAGAAGCAGGTTAAATACCATCAGTGGTGTGGAAACTGGGGAGCTCTCCAGCACTTAAGTAACTTCTTAAGAACACGATATAATGTATGACAACAACAAAAAAAAGGTGGCCAGGACAACCTGTTTCTCCATTTCTGGTCTTCTTTTTATATAGCACTTTCTTCTTCCTATACCAGCTTATGGCTTTGATATCAGTTGTATGGGCACTTGGAATCTCTGCCTCTCTTAAACATGATGTGGTACAACATAGCTGGGTTGCTGTAAAGTGTATCCTTTAACAGCAAGATTTCAGAGCACTATAGTAAGGTGCTTGTGATTCCTGAATTATTAAGATAGGAAATGCACACTCTCTAAAGCATTTGGGTACTTGGTTTGAATTTGTGATCCATGAAGCAATTTTAAACTAAATTTGGGGCATTTATGACTCCTAAGTTACTAGGATCACATCAAGAAACAATTCCTGTGGCTTTGATGTATCCTGTAGCCTGTTCTTGGCATGAACTTTTGTTGCACTTCAAGTATTTAAATAGCTTCCTTGTGACATGTTCAAATGAGTTATGTGCTTCTCCTTTTAAGTCGTTTAGTTGCCCTGAAATAGCCTGTACTTTCATTGCTGTTTATCATGCATTGTAATGTTAGTGATCTGACTCTGCAGGTGCCAATGGACAGAATATCTATATCACAAAAGAAAGTAGGCAGCTCTTCTGAAGGAGCTGTTCTTCATGTACAGTAACTGAAATTTATGTGGAGTTTTTTTTGTTTGTTGATTGGGTTTCCCCCCCCCCCCGCCAGATGGAGTCATTGTCTTGTCTGTCCCTGAAGTGGTTTCACTAGAAAGTGGAAGTTCAACAAACGTCACTATCTCTTTGAGGTAAAATCATGATTGCATCTTTACTTTCGCTTTGGAATGGGGGATGAACAAGTGGGTAGGGACTCAACTATATTCCTTTTTTTTTTTTTTTTTTAATTTTAAATGGGGATTATGGTGTATTCTTGGGACTTTCCTGCAGACTCAGTTAATTGATCATACAGAGGGAATCTCATTGGTGTGACTGGCCACTTCTAGACTGTTGCACACTTAGTCCCAGTGTGGCCCAAGATAGTGCAGCATTCACACAAACAGCCTTACATGATTGGCCTCTGCCAGCATCCCATGCCATTGGTATGGGAAGTTGAGCAGGAAAAGGTGTTTTATACTGTCTGCCCTATGTCAGCTTTCTGAACTGTCTTCCATAAGTGAACTTACAGTTCCTCCATTTCTAAAAATAGATGCTTAAGAGAAACTTGTATTTCCTAGGAGGATCACCAGAAAAACTTAGCTAGAAATTGCAAGTTCTATTTGCTTGGTAAAGAAATGCAGCTACTCCAGAGAGTAGCCTCAATCTTATTAACATGGGGTGTTGTTTATCCATGATTTTGTTATATCAGCCTCTTCCCAGGAAATTATTGCTAAACACATGCACCCCTCCCATCTGAGAGCTCAATGTCTTAGTAGAGGGAAGAGTCAGATGAAAATATTAGAGTTGTAATAAAGAAGAAAACAGCAAAGCATGGCTGCAACAGTCTAGAACTTCTGGTTTTGCAAAGGAAGTTGTGGTACTGGAATTTTGTTCACGGACAAGTACAGGCATTTGAACTTTATGATATTTTGAGCACTAGTGTGCAATTAAACCTCTTGGACAAATTCTCAGTAGGGTTCTCTGGGAAAGCTGTGCAGGCCTATGTCACTTGGAGGGTTTTTATTTGAGGGTTTTTTGGGTTTTGTACATGTCCATCACTTCTGCCCCTCTTTCCCAGCAGAGGGTTAACAAGCACCAGGATAGGATTCTGGTGGCAATGACTTTGCTCTGCCACTTGTGTGGGGAAGAGGGAGGTAAAATGTGGTCATGTGACTGTCTAGTGCCCATCATTAGTTCAGATAAAAGAAGCAGTTCAGTGCTAACACACCTTGTGGTTTTGCTCTGGGCACTAGGCAGGTACTGTTGTGTATGGTCTGGTCATTAAATTTGCCACAGCTGAGAGGATTTAGCAGATACTCCGCAGCCCTCATGTCTAACTTGTTGTTCCTGCCTTCACAGACCTCCACAAAATGAGACACTGGTGATAGCTCTTAATATCACACACTCCTCAAAACACAGCACTATTGTTGAACTGCCTGCTGAAGTAAGTGACAGAGCTGACTTCTGACTTTATGCAAAAACCTACTGCTAGTGTGGTCCAACTCTTCTCTTTCTTCCCTCCACTTTGCCTTACAGGTGCAAGTGCCTGCAGGACACACTAAAGCAGACTTCCAGGTGAAAGCAGATGATGTTGGACAAGTAACAGTTTATCTTTATGCCATTAATTCCAATTTAACTGGGTGAGAAACTGTTTGTTTTTTTTCTACTTCCTATCCTTCTTAAACCTTGTGGTAACTATTCCCTAATTATAGTTAAATAGTTAGTGGGACATGGGTGGTGTGTAGCTGAGATAATGTGGTGACCCTCAAGCAATCCCCAAGGTATTTGGATAAATACAGGCTATGGAAACAGAGTGGTAGTCTTGGAATCTTAGATTTCATGACTAGATGGTTGTGAGTTCTTATGGCTCCTTGGTTTGGTTTTAATAACCCCTCCCAAAAATACCAAAACTACGTCAGCTTTTCTGATCCAGGAAGTATTTGGTTTAAATGCCCAGTGGAAGAGTGTGCTCCCAGTGCTAATAGCCTGGTGCAGCTGTGCACCCACATCACTACCACAAGAGGTGGGTGTTCTCCTTTCTAGTTTGGGGACCCCTCTTGGCACAGATGCCAGTCCCCCCTAACAGGAAAACAGTCTAGCAAGATGGAGAAAGCTGGATTGTGTTTGCTTGCTGCCCAGACACTGCTGAGCAACAGGATACTCCTGTTTTACTTCCTCATTTCACTTCTGCTTTTAAGACTCAAAGCAAATGCAGAGGTAAGCACATGAAATGCTCAGCAGGACAGACATGATCATGAGGCTCTGCTGGCAGAAAATGAAAAGAGAGACTCTGCTCTTGCATAACAGACCTTGTGCTAAAAGTGAAAGCCATTAGCACAAGATATCTATTTTGAAGATTCTCCCTCTTTACTCAACTCTTGTGAGACCTCACCTGGAACACTGTGTCCAGTTCTGGAGCCCCCAACATAAGAAGGACATGAAGCTCTTGGACCAAGTCCAGAGAAGGGCCACAAAAATGATCCAAGGGCTGGAGCACCTCTTCCATGAGGATGACAGGCTGGGAGAATTGGGGTGTTCAGTCTGGAGAAGAGAAGGCTCCAGGGAGACCTTAGAGCACCTTCAAGTGCCTGAAGGGGCTCTAGAAAAGCTGGGGAGGGACCTGGGACAAGGGCAGGGAGTGAGAGGACAAGGGGGAATGGATGAAAACTAGAAAAGGGGAGATATAGGATAGGCATTAGGAGAAAATTCTTTAGTGTGAATGTGGTAAGACCTTGGCCCACGTTGCCCAGAGAAGCTGTGGCTGCCCCATCCCTGGAAGTGTTGAAGGGCAGGTTGGATGGGGCTTGGAGCAACCTGGGCTGGTGGGAGGTGTCCCTGCAGGGGGGCTGGAAATTAGATCATCTTTAAGGTCCCTTCCAACTCAAACCATTCTATGATATGAAGATATTATTTCCCTGGTAAAAGATTGGAAAGAAAACTGTGAGACAAGAAGGAGAGGTTGGGGGTAGGAGTGGGAGATGCCCTAAATGTAACAAGGACACTGAAGAAGGGAAGCAATTCAGCTGAAACCAACTCTGAATCTTTATTGTCTTGTCTCAACACCTGGACTCTGTTTTCTCTCTCAAAGCAGAATAAGACAAAATCTGCTGAACAAAGTGTGAGCAGACAAATTAACTATGTCTCTTTTCCATTAACCATCAGACCTAGGATTCAATTTCAAGTTATTCATAGCATCATAGTGAGATATGCTGCTGAGGTGATTGGATGGATCTATTTCCTTGCCTGGTCTATCTCCTTTTATCCTCAACTCTTTGAGAACTGGCGACGAAAAAGGTAAAGAAACTTTTGAGATGTGTTTGCAAGTCACTTAAGCACTTCTGCAAATCACCTTCCTACCTTCAGTTACACCCATCTTGGTTATTGTGAATTAGCATGGAAAGTGGGGGGGGCAGGCAAGGCAAAGATAAGGCTGAATAAATGCAGTTGCAGTGAGCTTTTATACATGCAGGTCAAAGGAAAAAAGTGTATCTCATAGACACAATCCTGTCATTTGGCATCCAATACTAATTTGTGATAGAGGAGACTCCCCCATTCCCTTTGGTGTCATGTTGTAAATAATTTGGCTGAGCTAATTGTGATGATCACCTTCAAAGATGACTTACCTGGTAAGCTGCTGATCAGTCAGCTCCTTGTAGTGTTGTCATTAGGCCAACTCTAAGCTCAGGGATTGTGAGAGGCAACATTCTCATTTTGGCAAGGATGCACTCCTGCTTCTGTGGATTCAGGCTGGAATGGGTTTATCAGACTAGCTGAGCCCAGGGAGGGGTCACGCTGGGACAGTGAAGGGAAGCAGGGACACAAACTTGTCAATGCCATGATGCATATTTATCAGACTTTTTTTTCCCCCCCTCTTCTCTAGTGTTGTTGGACTAAGCTTTGACTTTATAGCATTAAACCTTACTGGCTTTATAGCATACAGTGTGTTTAATGTTGGACTCTTCTGGATTCCCCTGATTAAGGTAAACACAATGACCTCTTAATACTCTGGGGGTGAGTGGTATCTACGGGGATTTAAGGCATTTGTCTGGCTTTGGTTTCCCTTACGTTTAGGAGGAATTCTTAGTCAGTTATCCCAGTGGGGTGAATCCTGTGGCTATCAATGACGTTTTCTTCAGCCTCCACGCAGTAGCTCTGACTCTCCTCACCATCATTCAGTGCTGCATCTACGAGGTAAGTCCCAGTGCCGGGCTGCCCTATCGGCTCTGGCTGAGCTCCCTCTGCAGGACATCTCACCACTCACCGTCCCTCGGGCTCCGGAGTCCTCTTGGTGCCACCTCCACTGGCCCTTCAAGAAGTCAGGCTTCACCATCCAGCTGCCTTTGTTTTTCCTGGGCCAGTAGCAACTCCAGTACACTTAGCTACTTCACCTCATGGATGTTCTAAGCTTCTAAGTAAACTCCTCAGGGACTCAAAATAACAAAGGCAAACAGCCAAGTTCAAAAAGTTCCCAAACAGATCTCTAGCCAGCACATAGATTACACTCTACCCAGTACAAGTACTGGTATGTACTTCACTGTTAACTCACTACTTGGAGCTGGGTCAGGTCCTGGGGAACTCCCTGCAATTCAGTCTTCTAGCTTTTTTCAGCTTCTCTCCTACAACAGCTGCAAAGGCCCTTTTCTAATTCCCACCCTTTTCAGGTGAGACTGTTATGGTCAGGTGGTTCTTGTAGTAGTTGATTGTAGTCAGGTAGTTCCCTAATTCCCACTGTAAAACTCTCTGATCCAAACAGCCATTTTTCTCTAGATAGTAACTGTTTGTCTTGGGGTGCTTCCTTTGGTGATGCTAAACCTGGAACTGTAAGAGCCCATTTGTCACCACCACTAGGTACAATAGTCTTTTCTAGTGAAGAATTAGAAGGCACCCATGAATATCTTACTATGATGGCATTAGGAGCCTTTTCCCTAATTGGCAACTATTGATATCATCAGCCTGATCTCAGGAGATTGTTACAGTTGCAGCACTGATAATAGACATCATAAATACTCAAAAATATTGTTTCCCACTTGCTCATGGACAAGTGTTCCAAATGATGGATGTTGAATATTGCTCAAGAGCATTTGCAAACCTACAGCTTAAAATTCCCATGTGATATGAACCCACCTGGTGCAACAACAGGCTTGAACTGTAACCTTCCCTAGTCCTGAGCATGTTGTGTATCCTGCAGGGGATGTGTGACCTAGCTCATTCTAAGTCTGTCTGCATTTCTGTTTCAGAGAGCAGAACAGAAAGTATCCCAAGTTGTTGTTGGACTGCTGGCACTTGCCTGGATCTTCACGTTTACAACACTGTTTCTTGCTGCAGCTGAGGAAATGACATGGCTACAGTTCTTATTCTGCTTCTCTTACATCAAGTTAGCAGTCACACTCATCAAGTATTTTCCACAGGTAAATCTTCCTTCATGCCATCCTCCTGTCACCCTAAGCCTGCAGTGCATGCTCTTCCAACTCTGACTAGACTAAACCAGCAATTTTTAAAGGCTTTTAGTGACAAAACAATATAGTTAACCAGAAGGCTTCTTCAATGTTCCTCCCAGAAAGGCTTGCACATGACATGCTGACCAACTTCTTGTGCTCTCAGGCAGGCGTAAGAGCACTGAGGGATGGAGCATTGGAAATGTGTTACTAGACTTCACTGGTGGAAGCTTCAGCCTTCTCCAGATGTTTCTGCAGTCATACAACAATGGTGAGGTTGGAGCTGAGGTGGGTGGGGGGCCTTTCATAGAGGAGTGGGAGAATCCTGCCACAAAGCAGGTATAAAGCTGTAGGTTACCTTGAGAGAGGAATGTTTGTGTTATAGCATGGGAAGCTGTTCTTATAGTAAGAGTAAAAAAAACCAAACTGTTCATATTCCTTCAAGACAGAAAATCCAATAGCTATTCTGAAGAACCCACAGGAACAGTTATTAATTAGCTTTGTTAGTTGTACCCCATAGTCAAGTGTTAAGGTGTCTAAGTACTCCAGGTAGTGAGCAGGAACTTCTCTAATACATACAGCATGACCTCCTAGTCTTGAGACAAGACACTTGAGGAATTGGTCTTAACTCTCTAATTTATTCTAACAGATCAGTGGAAGTTAATCTTTGGAGATCCAACCAAGTTTGGCCTGGGTGTCTTCTCCATCATCTTTGATATAGTTTTTATGGTCCAGCACTACTGCCTCTACAGGAGACGAGGGTATGAACCTTGTGAATAACAGGTGAAGACAAACTTTAAACTGAACTTGCCCCTACTCTGCCTGGGGGATTTGAAGGTACCTCCTGCCACTTACCAGGAATACTGACTCTGATCTCTTTATACTTTGATCCTCTCTGGTGTGGAATACAAGCTGTTCCCTTGCCAACTGCTGACTGCCAGATGCCTTAAAGGACAGCAAGCCATCCAGCCACCACTTGCAAAGAGAAGACTCATGCCCGTTGAAGCTGCAAAGGCAGCTCAGCTTGAGTTGTCCAAGCAACATGTGGCTCTTTTTCCATTAACAACAGGAAAGACCAGAGGAGTGTCTTTCTGATGGGAAGTGAAGCACAAAGAACAGTTCTGGCTTCCAAAAACCTGAGATCATGTTTAAGCATCCACTTGATGTCTTAATGTCATGACTGAAGACTGGATCTAAGTGCTGCTCTTGGCTGCTCAAGACAGATCACAGTAGCACACCACTTGGGTTGGCTGATAACAGCTGTAGTGGAACATAATAATGGAGTTGGTAGCAAATACACAACTGTTAAAACCTAAACTCTTTATTAAAAACAAAAATACTTGAGAAGCAGAAACTGAATTCTTATTTCACTAAAAGCTCTTGCAAAGGTGCTAAGACAAGTGCTGAGGTTTACCTGGATACCTGTGGTGCACTAACTTCATTTTGCATAGTTCTACTGCCATGCCTTGAATCCCAAATGGTGGATGGTAAAGATTAAGGGTTTATCAAAGATTTTTAAGTGGCTCATATTAGTTAACAGCCCTATGATTAAAGTTTAAACATCTTTTTTTGTTCCTGAGCAATTTCCTGACTACACATGATATGTTCTAGGTAGAGAACTGAATTACTGAGGTCACTGAAGGTAAGCATTGTACCCTTTAAAGGAACTAGAAGGAAATCCATGAACAACACTTGAATGTTCAAAAGCTAATGTGTCTTACTAGAAAACTAGAATCCATTTCCCTCCCTGCTAGAAAGGAGGTGAGGTTTGACAGCTCAGTAACACTGCAAATACCCCCCAATGAAACCAGACCTTACTAACCTCAGACTGTTGTGTTGATGTTGCTTGCAATCCACTGCCAGCCTGAAGAGGGGCCAGCTGGAAGCATCCAAGTGATCCAGCATTCTTAAATGTGAGGAAAAACAGCTCAGGTAATCCAACCTTTTTTTATTGTGTGGAAAAATCAAGTGGAATAGCAGTACAAATAGCAGTGTATCATTATAGTAACAAAAATAACTTCAACTTGAAAGCCTTAAAATTTCCCACTGAAATCTTAAGTTACAAAATTCAAAAGCAGTATTGGAATAATTCCAGATATAAAAATGGTCATTAGGCATCTGCTGGTGTGCACAGAACAGTCTGAGATGCATTTATCACAACACAGGTACATGGCACAGCAGTAATGTACTGAATAAGTTAGTCTACCACCTCCTCGTGTTCTATTTACAACAGCTCACCTGAAGGCTGCCTAAGGAAAGTACAGGTCAACTGAAGGGGATCAAGGACTCCAGTTTTTTGATAATTGTAAAGCTAGCTAATTAACAAACCACTAGGATGCTAGATAATTAACTTAGTGTTGCAGCAAGAATCTCAAATCCTGTGGCATGTTGATTTAAACAACTTAGTATCTTACCAGAAGTTTAAATTTGGTCAAGAGGCACTTTTGAAAATTACTGGCATATTAATCTCTTCCATCCAATAAACCAGTGATTTAAGCAGAATCTTCTAGAAGCCAGACCAGAACCCACCCTGCCCATTTCAGGTCTGATAGAAGTGGAATTAAGAACTAAAGACTCTCCAGCCACCAGCAGCTCTTTTGGTAAGTTCAGCAAGTGTTTTCTTTCCTTGATTCAATTGATATTACAAATTACTTGGGAACAAGGAGAATTATGGTTTTACTCTGACAGTGAAACTGAACTGCAGTGTCTATGGATTGTATTTTACAGATACTGATCTAACACTGTCTTAGTTGTTTCTTGGCTGAAGAGGCTGCTTTGTGCAGGGAATCTTTGCAGTAAAGAGAAAATGCCCCAAACCCTTTAGCATCCTCCATCTATCTAGCACACAATGTGAGATTAGTACAGTGCTCCTCCCCACAGCAGTGTGCAACTCTTCATTCTTTCATTTGATAGCTTAGCAGGACAGGACAACTCACTTCTAAAGGCTTAAGCACAGCAAATCCTCTTATCTTCCATAGTAGAAACCACATTTCCTCTTAAAATAGGAAGCTTTTGTGCTACAGAAGGATCTTGTCCAAGTTAAGGCTTCTCCAGTTGCTTCCTTAGGTAACTAGGATTTGTCCTGACCTCCTGAAAGCCACGTCTACAGTCAAGTCTTACCATGTACCTGCAGGGAAGACTTTAAAGAGGCACTCTTGCTGGGGGGACTAGAGTTTTGCTACTGCCAGTTACACCAGAGAAAGAAAATAATATTAAAATAGTGTTTACCACAGTTAAGAACATGCACTCTTTTCCAGATAACCTGTTCAGGCATTTGCTCCCTTGCTTGATAGTCTGTATCTCCCTCCCCAACCCTTCCCCAACCTGCTGATGGATGGGTTAGGACATCATGGATTGTTGCACAGCCTTCTGCAGGGACTGCCTGGTCACCAGCAGCCTCACCACTTCTTCATTCCTTTTTGTCAGCCTCTTCCTAGCCTGGTCATGGGTCACCATTGTCATATCCCAGCCATTCACCTAGGGAAGAACCACAAGTGAAGCAGGTGCACAGGCTGTAGGTGTGTCCTGTAACTGTTCTATCAGACTATGCACTAAATGTGCTTAGGCCACAACTCAGTTTATTTATAAACACACACACCCCCCCTCCATGTCCTGGGAATTGCACAGAAAACAGTGTTTCCCCCAGCAGAAATTTCTCAGTAGTGTGCATCTGGCACTGCTTTAGCACTTATCTTGGTGTTTACCTGCATGATCTTATCTCCAATCTGAAGTCCTGCAACTTCTGCTGGGCCACCTTCTGTCACCCTTGTTACATAGATGCCCTGGGAGAAAAATAATCAAGTGTTCATTTACTGCATAGGGGAGCATGAAACACTCAGGGGTTGTTCTCCTGACAGTGCAAAAATGCTCTGTAGTGTGTGGTGAGATTCTAGTTTAAGATGGTTTGTGCAGTGATGGAGAACAGAAGAGGTGGAGAACAGAAGAGGTGGTTGCAGGTGCCACCCCTGGCCCTTTGCAGAGGTGGCTGCTGCAGAAAACAGGGCAGCTGACCTTGTCAGTCTTGTCTTCAGAGAATGGGTTCTGAGTAGGGTCCTGGTCAATGCCACCTCCAATGCTGAATCCCAGAATCAAATTGTCACCTTGGCGCAGCTTATGGATTTCAATTCTTTGCTGAAAAGAGACAGGGATAGAACAGATGAGTACTGGGGTCACTGGGAGGAACCTCCAACGTGTTTCAGGCACAGACACTTAAGCCCCAGGTGGCCTGTGTGTGTCTGGAGCCCCCCAGAGCAGCCTGGTGCTGACACATTGCAGGAGGGCAGCACACAACTGTCACCCAGGGTTTGCTGTCCCTCAGCCACACACAGCCCTGGTGCTGACAGCAACTGGCTCTGCCCTGTTCCCAGCAGGGCAGGGAGCCACCCACCAGCTCATGCCCTGATGCAGCCCAGCTCAGGGACTATTCACGAGCTTCACCACTGCCCAGAGAGACAAGGGGAAAACCGTGAACATGGAGCAGGTCTCTCCAAGCCCCAGTCATGTCTAGATAAGTGGCAGCCACTCCTCTTGCTCTTTGTCCAAGTGCCTTGTGTTCCTGCCCGGCCTTATCACTGGAAATAACAACCTATTATTAGGATGGGTCTTTCAGATAAACGATCAACACTGCTGCAATCCAGGGGCAGGATCCTTGCTGGCTGAAGGCAGGACCTGAGGGGCTTTACCCCCCCTGTCAGTGCGGTGGGAGCGGCAGCCTGGGCAGTTCTGCAGCCACGGTACAAACCGTGGTCTGAGCTGCAGTGCCCGCCGGGCTGAAGGTTCCTCAGCCGGACCCAGCGGGATGTGCTCCCTGCGGGGCCCAGCCAGGATCACCTTCAGAGCTCCCTTCCCCCCCCAGAACCGTTCCGGGCCTCTCCCGGTGCCTCCCGCAGGGCTCCGGCTCCCCTTGGATGCCCCGGGGACCCCGCACAGCCGGGGGGACACGCACCTCTGGGCGCCGTTACCCGGACCGTGGTACCCGGGGGGGCAGCAACAACCGGGCCCGCCTGCGGGTCCAGCTCATCATGCCCAGGCTCGGAACCCCCGCTACG